GTGTGTGTGTGTGTGTGTGTGTGTGTGCCTGCTTTTGGCCTCCAGAGAAAACACAAAAATCAATTGGAGAGGTACACAAACCTCACTTCCAAAAGGCTCACAGCGCCAGATGAAGGCCCAGCCTCCAAACAACCAAAACTAAGTACTATGTATGTACTGTATGTATACAAAGTTATACATGAGGTTTTGGCAGTTGTGTAGTTACTTCTCTGTTTTTTGAAGGGACTCAGTATTTTGAATGATGACATGCACAAATTCAGAGTTAAGGATCACATCATTGGCTGTGTCTTTCTCTTCCCTCTCCCCCCAACACACACACACAGTGATGTGGGTAGTTCTCACATAGATGCACTCAAAGTCCTACACATGATCTCTTGCTGTTAAATAGAAGTTAGTAATAGGGTATGCTTTTAATGTTACTGTCTAGGCTTTGAAGTCTGTTGTGATGGATAATATTTATGTGTAGGCTAATATCTATTTGCATACCAATAAATTTTTTGAACACCGCACACATTGAGTTTGCAATCCCTCAATCTTTTACAGCAGTTTTATTTTTTGAATGTGTTTAGAAAAGATTGGTCAACGGAGCTTTTTGTATTCATTTCACTTAATTTTTTTCTGCTTGCACTTGGACATGGAGTCCAGGAAGCTTTTCCCTAAAATGGTGGTTTTGTCCTTCGCAAGGTTACTTTATACTTTTATACTTTAAGTATGTTTTAGAGCCTATACTTTTCACTTTAATTTGAGTAAAAAAGTTGAGTCAATACTTCAACTTTTACTAGAGTGTTTTTAAACACAGGTATCTATACTTGTACTTGAGTAAAGAATGTGTGTACTTTTGACACCTCTGGATGTGACTGGTGCTGCATCCGAGCTGTGATGTGTCCAGCAGCCACACCCTGCACTTTTCCCCTCAGCTCTCACGGTGAGGGACATAGATAGAAATTTTGGAGCCCCTAATAAATTCTACATACAGTCACACCCAGAACTTGGCTCATCTCCCTTTGTCCTCATACCCACAATCACATTCATTGTCCCAATATGTCAATGTCTGTGTTTTAAAAATGTATAATAAGGATGATTTGAAAAGTGAAAACAATAACAAAAGAACAAGGCTGGCTTTGTAATAAGTTGTAAAATTTTACTCCTCTCTGTTTTGCTGTGGCACATCCAGCATTTTAACATTTCGCTCTCGCTGCTCAGTCCAGCTTACGCAGTGCCATGTTGACAGACGGAGTTGGCTAGAGCCGCCCCTTTGGGGTCTCACCTGTGAGCACGTAATCATAGTGGTTGACATTGTTGAGCTTGATCCCCTCGTACAGAACGTGCAGCTCATCTGCTGTCAGCACCTGGCCCTTCCAGTGAGTGTAGCCTGGCAAGAGACGTCAAAGGTCACAGGTCAGGGTCACAGCCCTGGCAGCTGTAAATGGCAATGCATGTCCAAGAATATAATCATGACAACATAAACCTATTGAGTCGCTGCTTTCGGTATAGATGCCGTTGACCATTTCAGGAGCTTGGGAACCTCCACATACCAAGGTCCACTAAGGGTCATGAAAAATAACCCCACAACCCCCATACTGTGGCATACTGCCAATTCCACAGGACGTTCAGTCATCCCGTTTATAGATGTTCAGAAAAATGCCACAGCAATGCTGTCAGCAAGGCCGGTGGGTGGTGCCAAAGAATATGTTTAAATGATCTTCATATCCATGTAATACAGGGGTGTCCAATCTTATCCGTAAAGGGCCATGGCATTTGCGGGTTTTAGGGGTAACCTGCAGATCAGCTGTTCAGGCCCAGGTGTGAGGACACTAGTAATATAATTATGGAGATGCAACGAAAACCCGCAGACACAACGTATGCATAAGATTACCAACTCCTGTGTAAAACTATGCACTTACACCAGGCTAAGCTAACAATCTTTTGCTAAAATCACCCCTGTATTTGCAGCAACCATCCAATAACATGTATTTTTTTACCATTAGCACCGTCTAGCTAATCAATCTCTCATTGATTTTTTTTAACTAATTAATTGATTAAGTGAGTTGTTGGTTAAAATACATGGAATGACTGAGGTGCCACTGAAGAGGGGTTTGGGAACTGAAACAGTGATCATCTAACCATCCAACAAGATATCAGTAACTTTTTTCGAGAACTGAAGAAATTCTTTCTTCTTAGCTTTTGTTACTCTAAATTTGTATATGTTATAATGTTAAATTGCATTTTTTGTTCTGAAGAAGTGCACTTGCTACCCAGATAAATAGCTTTAAACATTTCTTTTGACTGCCTAAGACCAGAGCACAGTATTGTATATAGAAAAATAAACCAAATTTAATTGCACTGAACATTCCACAAATGGGTCAGCAGCGAAACTTCAAGCACAGCATGATGATTGTTCTCAGAAGACATACAGCCTCTAGAACAGCAGAGCTGCGAGACTCAGGTAATCAGAGACGGCTCTTTCTGCCAGCCAGCTTCCCGTATCCTGCACAGTGAGCAAAAAGATGTCCCTCTTAGAGGGGGGAGAACCTGTCCTTCAGTGCACAACAGCTATTTATAGCCAGAGCACCCATTCCTTAAAAGCACTTCCTGTTAAGGCAGCTGGTCCAGGGGTCCTACTACATGCTGTAATATGGCAAGACAGATGAAAACATACAAAATCATTAGTCTGTGTGCCCATAACCCCTCCTTGTGATGGGTCACTAGGGTGCAAAAACAGAAAAGGGACTGGTGAAGTGGGGTCACAGTCACACAGTGAGGATGCTGCTGCTGCAGGAAGCATGAAGCCATAGCCACAGGTGAATCACCAGGTCGGTCATGTGGCATGGTGCCCGTTGCTTAGCAACATTACAAGATGGAAGCCTGTGGGATTTGGTTAATGAAGAGTCACTGAATGCATGAGGGTGAGCATGTGACACAGAGGGTGGGGGGAGTGTGGAATTCTGTGATAAGGAAAGCTGCTGTCGTCAATTTCTGCTGAGGCAAATTCTCTCTCACACTCTCTCCCCCTCTCTCTCTCTCTCTCTCACACACACACACTCTCTCCCTCTCACACACACTCTCTCCCTCTCTCTCTCTCTCACACACACACACACAGGGATCCCCGTCACTCACATGTGCTATGAAAACAGGAGACCATCTCCTCTTGCCTGTGACAGATGCCTGACTTTATTAACTGACTTCACCTGTCAGCCATCACTGCTGCTGTCCCAAGATGAAAAGACCATCTTTCAATCAATCACTCAGTCAGGGTCATGGGGGGCTGGATGTTATAACAGCCAATATAGAGCACAAAGGCAGGGGAATATCCTGGATGGGGATAAACACAAACACACAGACACACAGTCCATGCGCAATTAATAGATGGCAATGATCTTATTTGCACGCCGTTGGACTGCAGGATGACTGAGCCACTATGTTGGCCCACAGTAGCCCAAAGATTCCCCTCCCACCCCAAAGAACTGCTGGCAAAACACAAGATAGTCAGAACAACGCCATGTAAATGTAATGGTTCAGCCTCCCTCCCCTAGGGGGCAATACCTGCTGGGTTAGAGAAAGCAGGCCAATCACCCATCGCCACAGGAAGACAGCAGCAGGGTGCCCACACATCCTTAACTGAACGGGGCAGGGGGTGGCTTGTTAATCTCTCTGAATGTGAACTCAGTGCCTGCTATTTCAAATTCCATCCACAGCCACTAGGAGGCAGCACTGTACAGACTGAAGATGAACAGCAGGGAAGAGCATTGATCCAGGCCACTGGGCTCAGCAGGGCTGCATCTGAGTGCTGTCTGTCCACGAGTCTGACGTGCAGGGGACTCCATCAGCACTGCCATTTCAAACCCCATCACACCAAAAACGTTGTGCCCCCCCCCCCCCCCCCCACCCAGGAGAAACATCAGCAACACCTTCAACTATTTTCAAAGAGGTTTCCTGACAGCTGAGCTGACCTGAATTATTCACCAGCGTATCTACTAGTGTGGTGAATCAGAAGCAGCACTCGATCCCCAGCTGTCGTGCTACACCTGCAAGTGTGCAACTCCAACCGGTTGGCTGCCCTGCAGCCACTGCGAGCAAGCTGCTCTGTGCTTTCAAAGCGAAATCCCACAGGGAATGTTACCCAGAATCAGCAGGAAAAAAATTCTCTCAGCTCTAAAGGCTTGGCATTCATGTCACACACAACATTCCTTAGGACAAAAAAAAAGACGACAAGAAATGAGCTTACTGCCGTCTAAATTTACACACATTTTTAATTAAGTGCAGAGCAGGAGAAACACCCACTGCTGCTCAGCTTCGGCGTCTGCAGGACGCGCTCGTTTCATCATTCATTAAAAATAATTAAATAAACAAAGTGCTTTGGCTCAAAGCTAAACAGATGACAGAACAACCATTTGGCAGCGGCTGTCCTTACGGAAAGTGAGGTTATGCAAAGCGAGCGTTTTAACCCTGAAACACAGGCAATCTCATTCTCGGTGCCCTGCTAAGGTATGTCCAGCCACCATTCTGACAGGCTGAAGGGTAACATCGACAGAGAAGTACGAAACATTAGAGCTAAAAATACATGGATTCATTTTTTTGGCCAAAATTAAAAATTATAGGGAAAATATTATCCATCCACTGACTAAGAACTCAATGATGGAGATGCTGGAGCCTATCTGAGAAATAACTAACAAAAACCCCCAATCTTCCCTGGCTCTGCACATCTATCCTCACCACTTCTCCTTATGTGCCCTCTGGAGTTTTAAGCTGTATTTGTTTATTTCTCCTACATATAGGGAGCTGGGTGATTGTAGGTGACTCGGGTGCTGGTTACAATGAAGGTGACCTCAGGGATGAGGCACGGATGAAGTACAGAAAAAGGACTTTCTCCCCAAGCCTCATGACATCAATGTGAGAGAGAACACTAATGATGCTCACTTCTGGGAAGACCTTTTGTATGCAAAGGAGAAAAAGGCAGCTCCCAAAAAAACAAATGTGGCCCCCTTTTTTAGACATTCTTTTTGTTTGGGTTTTTGTCTGTTTTGTCGGTACAGAATTAGTAATGAGAGCCACTGGAATGTCCCCATGACCTCCCAGACGGTCCACGTTTGGACTGTCTGGGAGGGAGCAGGGATGTGGACCGTCTGAAGGTCCAGGGGGACCGGATTGAGTAACATTGGTAAAGGGATTTAAAAAAAAAAAAAAAAAAGAAAAACACCTTGAGGTATGGCCAAGTCTCCCTGGAAACACAGTTGGGGGGGAATAAAAGCTAGGAAGAAAACTAAATGCAGCAGGACACAAAGCATGGCTGGGAATAATTCATGGTTTCATAGGGTCACTTGGCCAGGAAATAAACACAGCTATATATCAGAGCCTCTGAATGGGCCAGAAGGCCAGAATGGAGGGTACATGGGAACCAGGGCAACTGGTAAAGGGGCCTTGGCAGAGGGGGCATAGGAACAGAGTGCCTGGCTTTGGAAGCTCTGCTTTTCGGGAGGCAAAAACTGCTAAAGCTAATGAGCAAGTGGAGCTTTGATGCCAGTTCTGAGGCCTGACTGGGGTTCGCTTGGGAGCCCCAGCATCCAAATAATAAAATAAAATCTTACTTTCCAGGGCAAATTTGATCATGTAACCTTTGAACCCAACACGAATGTATAGTTGCTTATCTGCCATTATAAGTAACTTAAACTTTTACCCATTAAACACAGGATATTTTTCTTTTTTCTTCAAGCCCTCTAGGTGTTAAAACAAAATAAAGTTAAGCAAAAGCCATCTCATTCAGAAAGAAATCTAGAAAATAACAGAATAAAAGATTCCTTGTGATGCAAAACAACAGTATGGCAATTCCTAGACCATTAACATTTAATCCATTACATTTTTCTTTCACCCAATGCAGATTGTCCAGCATGATACAGGATACAAAGATGTCAGGTACAGACTGCACTGTGCATAGAGCAACGGAAACATTTTCAGTAACCCGCACCTGGGCTGCTGGTTCTGACTGGATGGAACCAACATTCAGGCCAAACGGGATCAGTTTAACAAAAAAGTCTTTCGTGCTTTTATTAATTCCAGTTAAGCATGTAGTTATCTTTAAAAGCTATTCTGGTTCTGGGTTAAGTGCCCTCCTCAAAAGGTACAAAAACAAGTCATCCTAACACATGAAACAGTACAAATGAGGAATAAGCACACCTCCTACAGGACCCCTTATGACATCCCACCCATGCAGACACACACACACACACACATTTGTATTCATATCTTTGTGGGGATCGTGCATTCATTTCTATGGGCAAAACCCTAATCCCAACAACAGCAACCTTAACCGCTACCCAGCCCTAACCTTAACCACAAGTAACCAAACAAAATGAACAACATACATCATCATTCAGAATTATTATTCAGTATTATTCTTCAAGTGTGGGTAGAGAGTGGGGAAAACAATCACACACTTTACAACAGGTTAAAATCACTACACTGTCCACAGAGAGGAGACTGGGAGGAAGAGCTGAGGTGGGAGAAATGCTGTGGGAGATATGGGGCATGGTGACGGCACGACAAAGCAGTCACACTGCCATTAAACCTGAAACGCCGCTCAAGGAGAAAAATGTTGTGTGAGAGCATAAAGACCCAAGCCAATTATAAAGAAACATAAAGTGGATATGTAAAAGAGGAGCAAACTAAGAGTACATAAATATATATCTGGCCAAAATTCCCAGTGTGGAGGGAAGGGCAAAGAAAAATATGGTCTGAACCCTGTTAGGCTGATTAAGGACTACACATGTCAAAGAGACAATCACCATATACAAGTCACAATGGAGCTATAATAGAGTACCTGTGTGATTGGAGAACTGCACCGAGTTGATGGAGTCCACCTCGAACCCAAGCACCTGTGGGACAGACCATCAGAGGCGTACTGTTAAACAACCAATGGGAAACGGTATGAGGACCCGAAACTACAGTACCCAGAATGCACTGCAGCTTCACAAGGACTCGCAGGGTTACGTATACACGTATGGTCCTGCGTGTGCACTGTCACACCGACGCGCATAACTGTCAATGAAAATCATCCTGAAGGCTATAGAGTACTAATGCGTTTTGTATATGCTTCTTTCTAATCGTATCATACAATCAAAGCTTTCCTTAACATCAAAAGAAATAATTCAAAACAATTTGTTTGGTTTATCGTTATATTAATGTTTGTGTGTGCACTCGTCATCAAACCAGATGGGTGTCGTACAATATCATCCCTTCTTTGACGTCAAACCAGACATTTCATCAGCCACTTAGATTATAGGCAACCATGGACATCCATAATAGATAATCCGAAAATCGGCACATTTCTGCCCGGCTCATTAATATTCCGTCGCTGTCACATTGCTAAGACTTGCCACCGCCAATTGAAACACAAACGTTTCGTATTAACTGTACCCATATGACTTTTCCCAGTGGCAGTTAGCTGGCTGAATCGTTTTTGCAAGAAACTTCCTTTTTAAATGATGTTTTTTTAGATTCATCTTTTGTTTATGAGTTGCCTATTTGATGTCCGGATATTAATGGCGTTGTGTTGTGGTCATGATGATGATGACGACGATGATGATGATGCTGATGATGTTTAAAGCCGGCGTTGTCGGATTGCTCCTCGGGTGAGGAGTGGGCAGAGGACAAATTTTGCAACATATTAAAGACGTACCCGGTGTCTGAATGTCATTAATCAATTCCAAGATAAAAACACAAGACAACTTTTCATATACCTGTTGGCTAATCATCACGCTCAGTTTATTAAAAAGACACTAATCGAAATGAAACATTGGCATGAATTTAAACGAAAACGCAGATCACAGCGATTAATACTGTAAGAACGGCATCACGACATAACACTAATTACTCGTGCACGGATGACACTAAGATTAACGCATTCTACTGTACGCTTACTATGATTGCAGAAATCGCAAACACTTACTTGACAAGCGCTAACGAAAAAGGATATTTTACCATGTGACCTTTAGTTTCCTACCTGCACTCAACACGTTTCCAGTTCCCCATCATTCAAATTAAGCCCGTGGATCCTCTCTGTTAAGGAACGAACTATAACTTTCAGTGAATGGGATGCATAAAAAAATCTTACCTGTAATGGAAATGATGCCGATTTATTCCCAACGTATCCCCTAACAACATGACTCTGAATTGACAACACTCTGCATTCCCTTTCGTGCGTTCCCATTTTAAAAGATACACTGACTGGTTCTCTCTGTGTATCCCCGGCTATGTGCAGCTAGCTAAGAAGTGCAGTTTCCGATCCGCTTAATCTGGAAATTATCCAGGAGCGAAAAAAACAGAACCGCGAAATTGAACTGAAGGACATACAGCTCACACCGAAACACACATTGACGAGATATACCTAAATTCTTCAGGCAATTAAGAAGGACACCTAAGTCCATCTACGTCACGGGGATAATAATTGACCCGCTGAGACCTGACAGCACGATTTATTATTAGATTCCTGCTTGACAATACAATATGTCTTTATATAGTATGTGAAATAAATCATAAAAAAAATTGAATTATGTTGTACATCGTTCTCCCAATAAATAATGTATAAAACATGTTCTAACGTTTTACTATGTGATCGTTTGGTGTAATAAGAAAAACGAAAATATGAAATCCATCTATTTTTCTGTGTGTGTCGGGGTTATTTTTTTAACCTGAGTAGCGCAGACTTCGAACCGAACTCGGGGTCCTTAGTTGAGTGTGTCGCGTTATGAAAACCGTCTGTAATAAATAATTGTAAAGTCAAACGATTGTTATCATTGAAGGCTGCTGTCTTCTAATGAACCTTTGTATTCGTAAAGTCAGCACTCTGTGAGACTGTCCCCGTTGTGAAACTGTCCCCGTTGGTCTCTGTGAGACAGATGTAAAGACCTTTTGAATAGTAAAGCCTCCAAAACTTATACGATACTGACTGGCAAAGTGTTTTTAATATGATATCAATCTGCATACTGTAATGTCCGTATGCCCCCAGCGTTAATGTGATTGTGTCTTCTGCTGTTTTTGTTGTTGGGGAAAAAAATCGGGTAAGTTGACCGGTGTTATGAAAGTGCATTATGGATGCAAATATTTAGGTGCGTGACTTGAAATGGAATAATTAATTCGTCTACGGTTTACGTGAGGGTCTGTAGCCTATGCCAGATATGGGGCACAAGGCAGGGGTATACCGTGGACGGGATGCCAGTTCATCGCATTTCACATACGCACAGTTTGTGGGGAATGTTGAAACACCGGTTAGTATAAGGTCATGTCTCTGGAGTGTGGGAGTAAAATAATACTTGTAGGAAACCTGTATGACACAGCGAGACAACGAAAAAACACACACACAGAGGGGACGTGGGATTCAAATGCCCACCAACACCAGGACGCCCATAATAATAATAAGTTGCTCTTAATAATAAGTAGCAGCTGTAGTATGGAATTATAAGTAAAAGGTATATAAAATAATACTATGAACTACAAGGTCTTAAACATTTTCTAAACGTGACAGCTAGATTAATAGGCTAAGGCAGCTAATAAAACAGAATTCTGCAAGAGTATGGGGAGGAATAGAAGCCAGCACCACACAAATGGTTCCCAGCTGCCCTTTTCAGTCTACCAGGAAGTGCAGTCTGTCTCCTCAGGGCCTGCATTTGAAATTGCTTGTGTCACTTTCAATGCCATTCTTTTGAAACAGATGATAGCCACTGCATTCTAACAGCCGTGTTCAACATATAACGGTATGTTTTCCTGGAGGAATACTGATCGAATCTCTTGTTCAGGTGAACCGTGGAAGGGTTTAGTATTATGATTACTGTCAGAAATAACAAGGCCAAAGTCATATCTACATTATATGAAAACATCAATTGCTCTTGATTGTAATGAAGTCTCATTAAAAGTCAAGGTTTCCAGTTCAACGAATGATTCATACAAGGGAGTATTGTGAGTGTGCAAGCCCTCTAAAAGGGCATTCGTAGCTGTTAATATTCCTTTATCCCGCCTAATTACAGTCATGTGCTATTACAGACTTAAAAGGTGACTGAGTGTAGCGTTTGGCATTGGTGGTTATTCAATGTGCTCAGATCACATGGACTGTCTCTCCCACAGGAAATGACATCATTCAGGATATCTCAGCCTGTTTTGTTCCCCCGCACGACTGATAAGCTTTCCTCACAAAAATAATAACAATAATAAACCAATCTTGGTGTTTGAAACATATAGCACCATTCATACAGTCTTCCTTGCCCTTGTTTTTTCCCCCTCATAATGACCTAAAACATCATATGTCTGTGTTGGTTCTCAGTCGTCCAGGACATGATAATCTTAAGGGCTTGAATCGAATGCAACTGGCCATCTTTTTCAATTTCTTGAAGACGTTCCACCTCTCATCCGAAAGGCTTCTTCAGTTCTAAAAGTCTGATGAGGAGTTCCAGGTATTTATCCTCTAAAAAGCCAGATCTCATTATTGATATGAAATGACCTTATCTATCCCACAAGTCAATGTCTATTTGCCATAGCGGTGTTAGTATCACATATTAAGGTGCTGCATTGTGTTCCGCTATTCAGGAGGGTTTATGGGGAGACAGGTGCAGGGGAACAACAACAAGGAGTAGCCACTCGTCCTGCAGGTGAGACTGTGCTGCTGGGTATAAAGGTCGGGGCAGGGGGGGGGGGTGGTGGTTAGGAATATATAAGAAAAAAATCTGTGGCGGATGGTGGGGGCTGCAAAGACACAGTTGTTTACATCAAACTGAGGACAAATTGTTCAGACACATGGTGGGTGGAGCTGTGGCATGAAGAAGCGCCCAGCGTGTTCGAGAGGTCCGGCTGGAGTTGCAGAATGGAGACCCCCACTTGGGCTCTACAGACCGCCGTAGCGCCTCTTAGGATGCTCCCTCTCCTGGCACTGGTGGCAGGCTGTGGGAGGCGTCACTGTGTGGGCAGAATTGCAGTCACAGGCCAAGGTTCTATAAGGGACTTTGGGGCCTGGCTACGTACCCAGTGGCAAATCTCCACCCGGGACACCAGGCTGAGAAAGGAAGGTAAGAAAATCACATGGGCAGCCAGTTGTGGAGCTCACAATGTACTTCATGAAGGTCAAGTGCAGAGGATACGTCCATCATATACAGATTAATACAGTGTCTGTGTCAACACCATTACACCTCAGGGTTGACAGTGCACAACATGGTGGGCTGCACTGATTTGACATGTATTTTAAGGAGATTTGGAGTAGACCGTTATATTGAAATTTTTATCCACTGGTTTCACAAGGGTTTTAGGTCAGTTATGTAGTTTTAATTCTTCAGTTATGTTTGTTCTAAAAATGTTTGTTCTGATGTAAATAGCTGTCAATTAATGGGTAAATTTCAATAAATGTTAAGTGATAATGAAATATTACATTTCTCATAAGCCATTGCTTATAAACCAAGCAACAACTTTTAATGCATGCATAGAACATATGGTATGAAATTTGGTAATATGGCAAGTACAGAAATATACATGTACAGTATCCCTGTACTTAGTAAATTACCAAATTCCTGTACAATACAATACTCATACATAAATTGATTCAAGAAAGCAGAGGTGAACACTTCAGATCCAGAAAGTAAAAATCTAGACCATGATTTAGTTTCACCCAACCAGCTGATTATATAGAGTCACAGAGTACTCAACTAGTTGGTCGAAACAAAATTTTAGTATGGATTTTTACTTTCTGAACTTGAAATTTCTATCTCTGCTTCCTTGAATCTTGAATGCATTTTGTATTTTGTTTCGACCAACCGACTGAGTACTCTCTGTCTTTGACTATATACTGAACTGGTTGATTGTAACAAAGTTTCATTTTCTGGACCTGAAATGTCTCCCTCTGCAAAGATGGATATCGCCCTGGGTGCTAGGCATACCACTAGTCACTCTGAGAGACCCTATCCACAGAGACACAGAGTAAAATATAATTACAATGAATACAACTATACACATTGTCTGGGAGCACATATGTGTGGGAATGTGTGTACTCTTTATAGGTTGAAATAACTCTTCTAGAGGGGACTGTGTTCATTAGCATACTAGTTTTTCTTTTTTCCATCACAGTCAATATGTCCCTCCCACAGGTACCTCTCACCCATTCAGAGGTTTGGCCCAAAAACAACTACTCTACTGCCGTGTTGGCATTGGCTATCACTTACAAATCCTACCCAATGGCAACATTGGGGGCGTGCATGAGCCCACGGAGTACTGTAGGTTCTGTTTTTTCTGTTTTCTATGTATCTTTGTTTTGTGTTACGCTGAACATATAGTTCAATGAATACTTGTGCGTGTGAATGTGTGAATTTTTCATGACCACCCCAAAGGTTGGCTGAAGGTGTTCTCCATGCAGTGGGGTGTGGTGGGAATTAAAGGACTGAAAAGCAATCTCTACCTGTGTATGTCCAGTGCAGGGATTGCCTGGGGATCGGTGAGTGCTTGACTCTGCACTACTAAGCTCAAGTACACAAGACAGACCCCCATATTCTTTATAAAAACTAAAATGGAGAGTATTTAGGAGGCTACCCTGTGATGTAATAATGAAAACAGTCACATGCTTCTGATTTAATGTGCTGCTATTTTCATGTAAATTGTTAGTGACAAGCTATGATGAAGGAGTTATCAAATAATAAATCAAGAATAAGTACATTTCTAATAGCTAATTTTATGTTTAGTTGAATTCTCCTTGTCCCTTTGCTTTGAAATCAGGAGCATTTCATGGCTGAATGCCTGTTCAGGGAGGACATGGAGGAGGACCATTATACCACCTACGCCTCAGCCTCCCACCCGGGCCTTTACCTGGCCCTGTCCCACAATGGCCAGGCCAAGAGGGGAAACACTGTGCAGAAAGAGAATCCCTGTGCCCACTTCCTGCCCCGCCTCCAAACATGACTCTGTCTGAGTCAAATCCTGCCTGCCTCTGTGGCTGAAGACTAGTCTCCATGGAAACACCAGAATGCGACATATTGCTGAAAACAGCTGTGATTAAAAGCTGTGCATGGTCGGGGGGGGGGGGCATAACCTCACCACAAAAGGGGGCGTGGTCAGCCCTGTTCAATGGAGCTGGGTCAGCCTGTAGCTCAGTAAGATGATGCCAGGTATCAGGGAGTCAGTATGTCTGTATACATCTTATTTATATAGTCAAATTTAATTTATTTTTCTTTCTAAATAGTTCATGTTTTACACTTATCACTATACTTCGAGTATCATATGTATTTATTACATTTTATTACATTGCTTAGTCATTGGCTTTTAACAAGCCACTTGGGAAAATGATGACCTGAACATGTATTGTGAATCACTGTGCCTTCTGCACCAATGCGAGCTTTCCTAAGACTGCTCTGCTATGAGTGTTTCAGCTTCTTACTCTCAGTAAGATCGGTAAGATGCAGACCTGCCATCTAATGTAAGCATGACACCAAAAAGAGTAACGTCTGAGTGTGCTTTGTCACCTTAAACCTGCATTTTAACAGATCTTACTGGTCACTATAATGTTACTTATTTCATGAGCCTGTCTTTAAGTTCAGGCTTCGAATTTCCAAAAGAAATTCCCTTAGAATGTGAGTCATCCAATGAAAACCCATTGAAAATGCATTCAATAAACAGAGTCAATTGACTGTGTATTTTAAGCAAAATAAGTAATGAAGAGACTCAGGACCTCATTTAGAGAGGCTGAACGGTCTGTCTACGGTTTTTGAAAGGGGTAATTTTGTAATTAAAGTGAATAAATTATTTCTTTCAAAGCAGACTTTGACACAATACCTAGCATTTGTCGGTGTATGTGCTGTCGTGTTTGTGGTTGTTAGTGTTGTCGCTGCTGGCCATAGTGTTGGTGTCCTTGTTTCCCTCAGTTGTCTTTAGCTACTTTATCTATCGCTCAATAAAACTACCTGGCATATATTATTGAGTGTTCTTTGTCTAGACAAGGTTTTCTTCCAAGGTAGCGTAAAAAATCAGCCATTTATTCGGGTGGGTATTGTTGGAGTACGCCGTCTCCACCGGGTCCGTGGATGAGAAGAGATTCACCGCTGACACGGGGAGAAGTTGCAAATCACCGGTTTATTCTCTTGACTGATTATAATCAGGGAGCGACCATCTGACATACATTCAGCATGTACAGGAGGAGGCTCTGCCATATGTATGAGCTGTATCCCTTTTAAAGCCCTTTGGGCATCTCCTCCCATCTCTCGGTACCTTCCGTCTACGTGACAACCACATGTTTTGACATTTACTCTAGTTAGTCGGTTAGTACTTGTCCTTGTGGAAGGCTACAGATACGTAAGGGCCGCTGACGTTCTCTGTCGCTCCCTCTATCAGTCCCGATTAGGTAACCTTGCCTTGCCGGCGCCAGTCAGTTCTCGTTTCAGTTAACTGCATTTTTTAGAATGAACCCCCCCTTTTCATCATGCCCTGCTTTAAGCTATATTCTCATTTTCCTCTATTTATTGTATTTTCTTTATAATTCTATTGAATCCCACAGTATTTTACTTGATTAATGAAGGATACACAAATTTATCATGCGTTCCAAAGGTGGACTCATCGTAAAACACCCAGTCTGGCAGTTATGGCTATAAATTTTTGTAGGCAGCACGCTGTCTGTCTTCAGGTTGTGTTTTAGAGAAGTAGACTCATTGCCAAAACCTTGCAGGAAATTGCTTAACCTGAACAGTTTTCATAAAATAAGGTTATAAGACGCGTCTGCTGCTCTGCATGGGAGCATCTGCTAAGCCGCTAAATGATGTGTGAAAAAGACCGCTTTGGCCCGAGCTGCTGAGTCAGAGCCTGGCTCTTATCCGTGTCGTCGTGACCGCGAACAGAGGAGGAGGAGGAGATTATATAGGAGAGGAAGAGAGAGGGAGACTGGGAGAGCGGCATTTCTCCACCGCCAGCTGGTGACTCATCTAACTGACTCCATTTTCAGCTGCAACGCCTTTTCGCCGTTTCTTGTCAGTTCAGCCCATTACAAAACCGAGTCGTACCACAGTCAGCTTCACTACTGCTTTTGCACCAGAAGACATTTGAAATGTGAAAAGACATTTGAAAAGAGAAAGCATTTGCTGGAAATCACACCCATCCACTGTCTTCCTTACAATCTCTGTTCTGTCTCCACATCAGGAATTAAATTTCCTACCTCAAAGTGCTGTATAATCATTGGCATTAAGTTTTAAATACTAAATAATAACGTGGGAACGTAGTCTAATCCAGCACTATCGAGTATAACCCCAGGGCCCCAAATGGCATAATCACAAGTGATTGTGAACTGAATTATTTGTCTGTGTCTCCACCTGAGTTGCTGTGTCCTCACGTGAATTGAAAAGCTGAGACATTATTACCTGCTAGCAAGTAAAATAAGAAAAGTAACTCGAGCGATTAAACTAGAATTTACCGTCTGATCACCAAATCTTGCAGTCACTTCACATATTACATAGATATATTCTGCAGAGATATGCATTATACCACAAAGCAGCCGCGTTCTGAAAATTTTGTTTGTGTGGGGTTTTAATAGAATGAAATCACATTAATAAAGCGATAGAGTGAAAAAGACGAAACATACCGTCTCTTGACTTGTAGAGGAAATAATCTAGCGCTGACATCTGCTGGGCGGAAAGTGCCATTGCTCCAAGGCCCCATCAAGAATCGTTAAGGATTTCTTGATTTTCTTCGGCAGATTCAAGAATCAAGATCCATTTTTGCCACAGGCAACAGGTTCACTGGAATGTTTGCTCATTCAGCCACACTCGATTACAAGGAAAGTGCAAAACAATACAGACAGTACACAGCAGAACAAATAGTCCAGAACAGTGTAAAAACTACACAATATGCTGATAAAGAGAATGATAAAGTGGAGGTGCCATGGATATGAATGGCATAGTGAATGCAGTTGTGAATGGAAATAGCTCTGGAAAAAAAGCTATTCTGAAATCTCACAGTCAGTGTTCTGATGCTATGAAACCTCCTACCAGAGTGCGGGGAGGGGGGTGAAGAATTCATGGCTGGGCTAGTTAGGGTCCTGCATTATGGACTGAACCATGTTACAGCAGCGGTTAAGCTACAGCTAGTCACTGGGGGTAGTTCAGTCCCTGTGATCTGCTGGGCAGATTTCTCAACCCTCTGTATGGCCTTCCTGTAATGAGCTATGGCTCTACCAAACCATACTATGACACAACTGGCAAGAATACTCCTGATGGTACCGTGGCAGAAACTGATAAGGATTGCCATACTCAAACCCCGCTTACTCAGTCGTCTCGGGAAGCCTAGTCATTGATGGGCGTCGGTCAGGATGGATCCATTGTTCTCCAACCACCTCAGCTTCCCTGACATCTGGAGACCAAGGAACCTGAAGCTGCTAACAGTGTCCACTGCAGACCCATCAATGGTGAATGGAATGTGACTTCTGGAGTGACTTCCTGAGGTCCACAATAAGATCCTTTGTTTTAGGGATGTTCACAGGGAGGTTGTTGTCATGGCACTAGTCCACCCGACCGGCTACTATGCAGTTAAAGATACAGATTGATCAAATAGGCTCCAAGTTTATGTGAACTGTTTTTCAAGATTTACTATCTTTGTGAAAACATACACACGCGCCCTCTAGGATGGCAGTCAGCATAATAAATAAGTCAGAGGAACACAATGCAAGGAGAGACAGGTCAGCCTGACCCAATGTGCTCAGGCAAGGAATCTTCAACTTAGCAGGGCACGTTCACAGCACATCTACAATGCAAGAAACATAACTGACTATTGGTATATATCTATAACAGACAACCTTCTCAAGCTCTCCTATGAGATTTAGAATTGTGAATGTACCATATACCTTCTATACCTTCAGTAGATCATAAAACCTCATTCACATATGATCTCTGTAGACCTATATGACAGTATGATATGGTGATGTGACTGCATTTATACAACATGGCCACAGCCATAGGTCTTATGGGGTACTGTAACACCATCTAGGATAGCGGGGGGTGGCTCTGTCACCCAATCCTTCTCAGGGTGGCTCAGCTCCTCCCCTCCTTACCTACTCAGGTGTCCCTTTGTGCTTCTGGTGCTCTCCCCACATCAGTCTCCAGGACACTGAGAAGTAAAGGACCCTCAGGCTTTCCCTGAGTATCTGCCCACTGCCCACACTCGCTTCTGCTGTCCTCACTTACTGTCTTCAGTTTGATCTCTTTCTACTCCTCTCCCATGGCTCCAATTCAAAACATCTGATGATGGCCTGCGTATTGATCCATGACTGAGCCACAGCTTTCCCCTGGGGGAGATGAGGAAGCAGCTGGACCTGCTCTCAGTGGCACCGTGGAGGAGGTGAGTACACCTATCTGCTGTTTCAGTTAGGCTATGGACTGCCTCATCCCTCACTGTCTTCCTGTCCTCTGGGCTACAGCTTCCTATCTGACAGCACTGATTATTCCATGATGTTCCTAACAAAATGTAACATTGTGGGGAGGTAGTCAGATTTAGCCTCACAAAGGTGCTCTGTAATCTTTGGGGGTTTTTTGGGGGGGGCGAGATGGAGTGATAAGAAAAAAAAATCTGGATAATCACCAACAATTTGTAACACTAAGCAGAAGAACACTACGTAAACAAAAATACATTTTAAAAAATCACCAAAATGTTCCCACACTGCTGACTGGAATGTGCCCGGCTGCTCTGCTATTTCAAGGTTATTATCCTTCTTAAGCTAATAAAACTAGCCTTGCTTTTACGGCAAGCGTCTTCAATCAGTTACTATTGGACCAAAATAGTCAAACGACAGTTGCAAGACTAGATGTAATGTGTAATTTTCCTCGTCTTTTGATAGAATAGTATTTTTGTAATTTACGTGTGTTATTTGTAGTGTTAATAACGAAATGAAAAATGAGTTTTGTAACATTAGTAATGTAATGGAGAACTTCACAGGCAGCGCGTGAGGCAGCGGGTTGCGGGAGGTGGATATCGCGATTCTGTCTTCCAGAACCGTGACACAGGATCGTGCACGTCGCGGTTTCGGTTTCAGAATCGTTACACCACTAGACAACATACAGCCCGAAGTCTCCCCTCAGCAGGACCCTGCGGTGCAGGCGGTGCGGCCTGGCAGTGCACGGATTGAGCTGCTGTCAGTGACCGATGAGGACCTTCCTGCCGTTGAGACCCTGCCCGCTGTCAAAGGAAACATCTTTAGCGGACCAGCCCCGGATCCTGCCCCAGCTGCTGATGCTGCCACAGAAGCCCAGAATTCAGCAGAAGCCCCCAGCTCGACTGGTCCTGCCATGCCCATCACAAAAGTCCAGCCATTTTTAGATGGTACGGAGATGGGGCAGTCAGGCGGGGCATAATAGTCCTGATGACCTCTCAGGTGAAGCAACGGAGGCAGGAGAGGTGCTAACCAGTTACAATTGAATAGATAATTGAGTGAGCATTTTAACACGGGTTTCCTTAAGCATGTTCTTGTAGTTTAAATACAATGTTTTCCAGGCATACTGCTTAAGTGACCAGTGTGAACACAGACTCTGTTTTTAAATTACTTAAATTGACTCAATTTATCATATAAATAAACCAAGAATTAGGAGAATCAAAAAGGCTTAAAAGTGGTCTACTATTACTTTCGTATTTTAAGAACATATGTGAAACGTTCCTTACGAGTATTAATAGATCGTACACAATATATTCAAATCTTGTTAGTGAATTGAAAAAATAGCTACTGTACACTGCCTTTATAAAAACGGAGATAAAGTAGACGGTTTCTAGTATACAGCTTCAAAGTTTTGTTTTTAGAGGGTGATAAGGAAGGGAGAACATGTGTGCTTAAGTTTTCACTGCAGTAGAATCCATCTCTGTCTGTCTGTCGACAGAAAATGAGCAGGCAGAGGAGAAGACGCTGCGGGGCCGCCTGCTGGCGCACAGGGTCGAGCTGCTCATCGGCGCCTGTCTGCTGCTGGTGCTCTGCCTGGCCGTCGGCATCGGGGTGGGAGGTGAGCGCGGTCGCCATCAATTCGTAATCAGCCCCTCATTCCAACCTGGAGGCTAGACACATAAATATTTAATATTCTCAATTTCGGTTACACATATGTAGGAGGGTCGTTGAGGAGTTGACTGACAATTATTACCGGCCACACTGTCGATGCGTCGTTTAGGTTTTTGATGTACTGCATATTTTATTTCTGGAAGATGTGTAAAAGCTCTTCTGGCTCAGACTGATAAATGAACGTATATATTTTGGCTAAAAGTTTAAAGGGCGCTTAGTGGCATGGTTATGTAGATTTCGTTATGTTCGTGAACGATTCGATCTTTTAGTGAACGAAATGATCCACGCTACACTTTCTTTCACTCAATGACTCATTCGTTTCGTTCACGAGCATCGTAGCGTAAACAACTGAGATCCCCCCTCTTTCGCCACCTACTGGAATAATTGTGTACAGATGTTTGAAAGAGTCTGGCAAATATAATTTAGAATTAAGTATAATATATGATACCATATGGAATAGATTTTAAATTAGATAAGCATTCAGTAATTTTAAGTATATACGCGTGTTATTTACATATACATGTATATACATATACATATACAAAAAAGTAACCATCCCCCTGTGACTCATATAGGTCTGAAGTGGTATATATCAGAAGTGAATGAAGGAAGGCACGGTTCTGAATGAATCCTTTGATTGAATGAACTTGAAGGAATACATTCTTTAACAGTAGGGTTCTAAAAAAAATAGTTTCATAGTCGATTAATTATGTTAATTGATGATTAGTTGGGAAAAAACAGAGGGTAGAAAAGTGCAAATGTTTTATTAAAAAAAACGTGGTATTTTTTTTATTACAGTTTTAATAAAGACTTTACATAGTGTTTAGCTGGTGTCAATTAGTTGCTGCAGTTCTAATTAAAATAATCACAATTTTTATGTCTGGTCTACAGTATTACTGTAGTGGTCTGGCTATGCTTATCCAGGTTAGTATAACTGATAAGTCACTCAGTAATATGAGCCATTAGCTCTACACTGCTCAGCGTAGCATATATGTGTAAGAGTATAGTTTAGTATAACTGATAAGCTCCTCGTAATGTGAGATACGGCTCTACAGTGACTGGCATAGTATATATTTAGTGGTTCTGTTTGAAAGTGCTTTTGAATTCTTTGTGATAGTAGAATGTGTGACTCATTGTTTGTAGTAGTCTATGAGATGTCAGTTTCTTTCAACAGTAATGTATTATGGCTGGCTGGTAGGTGGCTCTGCAGTAGTATTACTGTCAGTAGTAGCCTATTTGGTGTGACTCTCTGATGTGGCATATCACCTGTGACTCTGTCCTGTCCACAGTGGGTCTCAGCTGCACAGGGAAGTTTCGCTGTGGCTCCTCATCCAGGTGCATCAGCAGCTCTGCACAGTGTGATGGTGCTGTGGACTGCGAGCATGGAGAGGATGAGCTTCTCTGTGGTGAGCACAGCTTCCGCTCATGCCTGTGCTGGCCTGTTTCTGCAGCACAGCCAGCACATCAAAGCTATGCTATTTATAATTATTTCGCTGACACGAGGCAAAAGGCAGTGTGTAAGTGTGGAATGCTTTGGGTCAGAGAGCAGGTCAGTCAGCATCCAGCACCCTTGGAACAGTTGAGATCCTTAAATTATAGTGCTACACCTCACCCAGTGTAAATATAAACGTAATGTATGCTGTAAGTGTAACTCAGTCTTCTTCTGCGCCAGATCTGGGCACAGGCTCACTTGCTGATTGGACAATCCCCTTCTTTGTATAGTCACTATACTTTCATTGCAAAGTTTGTATGTCTCTATCTGTGTATCTGTATTCGGTTGTCTTCTCACTCCAAGTTCGTCTGAGCGGGAAGAGCTCTGTGCTGCAAGTGCTGAGTGGGGGGGTGTGGAGGACTGTGTGCTCTGAGGACTGGACCCCCACCCTGGGCCTCTCCGCCTGCAGACAGCTGGGTTACCCCAGGTATGGGGTCCGAGGGGCTGGGTGATGCAGGCACTCAGCTTTGTGGAGCTCTATGACTGTGTACGTCACAACACTTTGTCTCCTCACCGGCTTTCAACGACATCTGTTTTTCCACCTCCTCTGCTGCAGGTACGTGGAGTCCAATTATCTCCCACTTTCCTCCATTGAGGAGGACCTCCAAAACCATCTAGTGTCCATTAACCCCAGTCAGTTGAGTCCCCAGCAAGCCATCAAGATCCACAATGCCACTGGCATCAGGTGGGGCTGGTCTTGAGGTAATATGTCCTCACAACTCAAACAGCCAATTGTGAGCTGAGAGATCAATCCATCACAAACATGTTCCAGTGTGATAGATATTTGCTTAACAGATTTAGTAACTTGCCATTCATACAGCTGCATATCTTACTATAGCATTTCAGATAAATCATACAGTATCTTTTGCCCAATAGCAAGGCTGGCCCTCCCTGTAGGCAACATAGCCGATCCCCTGGGGTTCTCTTTGATTAGGGGGTGCAAAAAAGCGAGTGAAAAATCATTAGAAATACCCCTGCTTGCATTCTGTGACATGACATTACACTATATGTAATATTTAAATACTTTTCTTGTGAAACAGACAAAAGCTAGATACTCAGCAGCCAGATACCCTGTGCTACTGAAATGTTTTCAATATAAATGTATCAACAAAACAGAATCTCAGCTAGGGTGTAGAACACCCAGGGCTGGCCCTGCTCAATACAGACTGAATGGTGCAACTATCGGTGATCTTAAGCTTAGTTTGCAGCAGCAACAGAACTGTCCCAGAGTGCATAAGGCTGGTGATGGCATGTCCTTCTACTCCTCCTTACTCCATGTCTTACTAGACGTGCACTAAGATCATTTCAGCTGGTAGTGTGATATTGGCCTGATCAAATCACGTTCACCTATGAGACTTTTAATCTTTCTCTGTATAATAGTGTGTAGTTAATGTTAAAGCTGTTGACATACTTACATTCGGATAATATTAGACTGCTAATTGTTTGGACCCAGGAGAGATTCCCACAGTTGGCTGCCTAGTGCCATAAAAGTACTTGCATTGTGGTTATACCTACATTTTGAGTATATGATGACTAGTACCAATATAAGGAACAGGAGCATTAGAAATCCATTAACACATTTGTATTTCTTGGTATCTTACCACAGTAAGACTCACTGCAGTTCAGTGACCTCACTCAAATGTCTGGGTATGTATTTTGTGTTTGAGTCTTTTTTCTTAATGGAGAATATATGAGTGATTGTGGCAGAGACTATCACGTGTGTGTATTTGTCTATCCGCTTCTTACTACTCTAAGAATGATTAAATTTTGCCACAAAGATGACAAATCCTGAAATAATATTGTGATGATGCCTGCACAAAAATGCATATTTTTAGAGATATATCTAAACAAACATTCAGAAACATTTTAATATACATGGAAATGTCTTCGTAGTTTTTCATTATGGATCAGAGTAAAGTGAGAGGTATCGGAAAGTCTCCATAAGTATAGATATTGAGCTGATGTTCCATGGCTGTGTGACATTCCATGTGTTTGCCATGCATCTGTCCCGTGTCTGTCATGTTTGTCACGCATCTATCATGTGTTTGCCATGCATCTGTCCCGTGTCTGTCATGTTTGTCATACATCTATCATGTGTTTGCTATGCATCTGTCCCATGACTGTCATGTTTGTCACACATCTATCATGTGTTTGCTATGCATCTGTCCCATGACTGTCNTGTGTTTGCTATGCATCTGTCCCATGACTGTCATGTTTGTCACACATCTATCATGTGTTTGCTATGCATCTGTCCCATGACTGTCATGTTTGTCATGCATCTATCATGTGTTTGCTATGCATCTGTCCCATGACTGCCATGTTTGTCACGCATCTATCTTGTGTTTGCCATTCGTCTGTCCCGTGTCTGTCATGTTTGTCACATGTCTATCATGTGTTTGCCATTCGTCTGTCCCGTGTGTCATGTTTGTCACACGTCTATCTTGTGTTTACCATGCGTGTCCCGTGTCTTTCATGTTTGTCACATGTCTATCTTGTGTTTGCCATGCGTCTGTCCCGTATCTGTCATGTTTGTCACACGTCTATCATGTGTTTGCTATGCGTCTGTCCCGTGTCTGTCATGTTTGTCACACGTCTATCATGTGTTTGCCATGCATCTGTCCCATGTCTGTCATGTTTGTCACACGTCTATCATGTGTTTGCCATTCGTCTGTCCCGTGTCTGTCATGTTTGTCACACGTCTATCATGTGTTTGCCATTCGTCTGTCCCGTGTCTGTCATGTTTGTC